CTTAGTTAATTTCGACCGGTGAGGGTGAGCAGAAGGTTTTGTGCTTCCTGGTTTTGGGGACAAACCTGAAATAGAGAGAAAGTGACCCTTGTTATGTCACTTGCTTGACGACCTTTACTTGTATTAGCTCCCGTTTTCTGAGTTGGTGGACGTTCTTTTGTAAATGCAGGAGTTTGGTCAGAAGAGAATGAAGTTGGTTGGCGTTGGTTCACATCGGTAGGTTTTGGCCCAAGGGTCGAAATGTGTACAGAGAATAGCGATGCCGTTTGACTAGTTGTTATTGTTCGACTGTGGGTAGCAGTTCTCTCGAGTGTTTGTGTTTCACTGCCAGGCTCGTTTGTTCTTGAGATTGTTTTCAATGAGGAAGACGGTGGATTCGAAACACCTGGGGTCGAGAAAGCATCTTGAGCTGTTCTGGAGGTTGATGACAGCTGCTGTGGCTGATTACTGACAGTTGATGTTGGTGGTATTTGTAGTGTTGTTGAATTGTTAGTACTACTAGTACCAATACCACCGCTTGACGTTGTTATACCGAAGAATGTCATAACTAAAAAGTAAAAATACATTATATAGTAACTGCTTAAGTGTTAAATTTCATTCTTAGAAAGCTAGCGTTGACATAAGAGCACTGTTTCCAATTTTTTTAAAATGGCGGATGGTCCTGGTAATAAAGATTTGTCAGGAGGAATTAATTTTTTCGCTGACAAGTAGATGATCAAAGCCAAGTGGAGTCTTTGCACAAGATGCATGCGTTTAACTGAATATAGGAAGAATATGAAGTTCGATGATAATAAATTAAATGTCGGTCAGAGAATTATGCACGTCATTTCTACTTACATAGGATTTCGTCAAATCGAATGTCAATAAAAGTTTGCGTTGTTACCATTTCTAACGTGTCATTTTGACAAATCAACGAAAGGCAATCAATAGAAAACAGGAGCCGAAATTGAACTATTATTTCAGGTAATATTTCAGTATCATTAACCGCTTTGATAGCATCATAGTAACGAATAGATTGTTTTCCTGGCTGCGATGGTACTTGACGTTTTCGCTAAATATATGGATACAATCACTTATGCCCCTTTCACTCACTCAACAAAATTTCATTGGCGACTTTCAACACACAATACGATCTAAACAATGTTCTATTAAAAAGCTAAACAAAACAGCACTCCTGTATGTTGCACAGGCATATTCGAATACTTTCGATCTACAGCAATGTGTTTCTTATGGTCTTCCTGTGCTATGTCTTTCTCAAACACCACAGCAGCAGTCAATCAGTTACTTCTATCTGCTACATAGTCATATTTGAATATCTTCTATCAATAGCAATGTCTTAAGCATGGTTGCCCATGGTATGTCGTCCAGTTAATCCCATCTGTTGCATAGTCATATATGAATATTTTCTATCTTTAGCAATGTATTTCTCATGGTCTTTGCATGATATGTCTCTTCCACCCAGCACAGGAGCAGACAATCAGTTACTCCTAAGTGCTGCATAGTCATATTTGAATATTTTCTCTCTACAGTAATGTGTTTCTCGCGGCTTTCGGGTTTTATCTCTTTTCTCATACAGCACAGAAGCAGATATCAGATACTGCACTATGTTGCACAGTCACAATTCGAATATTTTCGATCTACAGCAATGTCTTTCTCATACAGCGCAGAAGTACACAATCAGATACTCCTATGTGTTGAACAGTCATATATGAATATTTTCTGTCTATATCAAAGTGTTTCTCGCGATCTTTGCATGATGTGCCTTTCCTATACAGCGAAGGAGCAGACAATCAGACACTCCTATCCATTGCATAGTCATATATGATTATTTTCTATCTTTAGCAATGTGTTTCAAGCAGACAATCAGATACTCCTATCTGTCGCATAGTCATATCTGAATATTTTCTATCCATAACAATGTCTCGCTCATGGGCGTCCCGTGGCATGCATGTCTTTCTCATACAGCACAAAAGTAGACAATCAGATACTCTTATGTGTTGCATAGCCATTTGTGAATATTTTCTCTCTATAGCGATGTCGTTCTCATGGTCTTCCTGTGGTATGTCTTTATCATACAGCAGTGCAGTAGACAATCTGTATGTTGCATAGTCATACATGAATATTTTCTCTCTATAGCAAAGTCTACCGATTTGGCTGGCTTAGACATACACGCTTATTTATATGTACATGGAAAAAGTTGAATTTTATTCCTGGCGGTTGTGTGTCTCCAGCATTTATCTTTAACTTTGCCTAAGATATTTTTTCAGATCGAAGTTAGAAATTCGTAGTAGAGTACTTCGGGGTAATTAGAGGCACTCTTCGAAAATTTCTTCCTTTTTTTGCTATTTCTTGGCCGTTTTTGATCGGAAAAAGTTGCTATTGAACATGATGGTAGACCAAACATTTTTCTACACGCTCATGTAAAAATCTTTTGAAAAACTCCGGCCAATTTTGAGCCAGATCCAAAATGCGAAGAGCTCCATCAAAGTGCCTCTAATTACCCCG